TTCATAGAAGTGGTATAGAATCCTTAAAAATCAATATTTTTTTATCGGAGATACCCTATAATAATACTCAATTGTTTATTTAACCAGTTTTTCATCCCAACTATAATTTATAGGTGCGCCAAAAACGCACAAAAACCCCGATAAATGCAATGGGGGGGACCAATAATAAATCGTTAGTATTAAAAAATGGTTAAACAAATAATTGGGTAATATTATTGAAAGCCTGCTGAAGAGAACCAAAATATTGATTTTCAAGAATTATATACCATTTCTACGAAAAGTTGATTTTTATCCATATAAAAATACATGGAAAACTTTGAGCGCTTTGAGCGACCTCTAAATATTTTTTGATTGCAATATAAAAAATAGGGGTATAGTTTTTTTCGATTTCGAGAGCATTACAATTCCGACTTTACTGTTTTAGACCACCCTAATGTACATACATGTGTACATATGTGATTTGGCAAGTATGCCCAACAGGAAAGTCAGTATTTAAGTTTGTAGGCATCTTTTTTGCTCATTCTTAAAAGAGTTTTGGCTTTAGGTGCGTCGTAGAACACCCAGAACTGCCGGGTACTCCTGTAAGATCCTGTGCAGTTCCACCTCTGCTTGGCCTTCGCATGATAAATTTCAGTAATTTTGGTCATAGTCTCCCTGAGTGAGGCACTTATGTCCACCGCGTGCGACACATTCAGTGCGGAGCTGCTCCTTGTTAGTTTGTCCGCTGTTTCGTTCCCGTAGATGCCCCTATGTCCCGGAACCCATATTAGGGTAATTTCGTATTGATAAGAAATATAGTAGAACGTGTCTGAATAGCCGCTTGGCTATCCATGATTCAATAATTCAAGATTAGATAGGTATTGACAGCTGCGGTTTCACACTCCCTTAGGATATTCGAAAGGGGAAAAATTAAATCCCTTGGTGCGAAAATGGTAGTAGAAAGTATGCAAAGTAGGCAATTAGTAGTGAAATTCCTTTTGTAAATTCTAATGTATTTGCAGCAAATTGGACATCTTAAACGAAATATAGAACGAAATATTAATATATCTACATGAGTTACGTAATTTATGTATGTGCTATTTAGCAGTATAAAAACTCAAAAAGGCTTAAAACTAAAATAAAACTACTATGAGTTTTATGTAAACATCGAATTTAAAAACAATTTATATTCATATACAAATAAACTTATTGAACAAAATCGTGTACTTCTATTTCACACATAAGCAACACTCTTTCAATTTGCAAAGAAGCAACAAGGTGCCACCGCTAAGAGAGTGGAACCTTTAATTATTGAATAACGCATTACTGCCTTATTTGTAAAAAAACGTTTCGGCTTAAAAAACGCATACATACTCTGGCTGGCGGAAGGATAACTGTGGGTTATATTGCTCAATGAAAACCCCTGCACCAACTCTGCATTCCATCTTTGACCCATCCGTAAAGACAGTTAAGGCCAGCAAGAACCCGAAATTCTCCTGATTCTAGTCCCTGCGGCTTGGGACTTTGCGTCTAGGATGGAACCGTGCCCAAACGGTCTTTCCGCTGTTAGCAGCTGAATCTTCGATAAAGATATCTATGGGTAATAAGTCAAGAAGGACGTTCAATACGTCCTCCGCATAGTATCTCATGGCACCTGTTACGCCAGCGGCTGCTGACCTTTGAATTCCGCTTATTTTTTTAATTACGTATTCCTTACCAGACTAGCGCGCCGTAAGAGATTATGGGTCGGACTAATAGCTGTGTACATCCAGTGCACAATTCTTGGATCCGAGCGTAATTGCGTAAAGTTTGGTTATAAAAGTTATCTGCCGTCCAAAGAACACTTAAAAGGAAGGTATTTTGTAAGTTGCTTTGGCACACACCCTGGCTTAAAACTCATTTTCTTTAACGTACGCAAAATATGTTTACCATTCCTACAGGGTACACTGGTAGACAATTTTTGCTGATTTTGTAGCATCACTGCGGTTATATAACATCATAACATTATCCTAAGTGAGCAGAAAGGGAAAACAGTGGTAGCTAAACTAAAACGAACCAAGCAAAATAAACTGTCTTATTGAACTCCGTAGAACAAAATGTCGAGGAATATTAAATGAAAATTGTACACATTCACAAAAAGAGCTACTGTACTCTCCATGAAATTACATGAAATTCTATGCATTTGGTTACCTTTGTTTTTCATTATTATTATTTTTTTCAATGCGATTCATCTCGATGTAACTATTTTCGGGACCAAAGCCACTATGAATTGCAAAACAATTGCCAACAAAATAGAAAAAAAAACAAATTTTCAATCTAAAATATGTTTATTTAACCTTTCACAATTGCAACCAAATTCAAAGCGTATCTAATATTTGATCTGTGGGCCTGAAAGCCAGCATTAAGGTACCATTTTTTATTGACTGACATTTCATCTGACATTGGCACTTTTGTACCTGTAATTTTACAATACAAGTAAAAGTGATTTTAGTCAATAAGTACTGTTGTTGTGAGCTCCCAAAGGAATACAAGAGCTAGTACAATGTAATCACGAATACAATGAAATCGAAGATTACGCTTACGAGCCTATAGCTGTGACTACAACAACGAGATGAAAAGAATAATTTTGATAGATATATCGAAGGCAATTACGAGAATATCCTAATATTACCGGTAGATATATGGAATATCAAATCTGATATCGATTGTTTTCCCGATAACAACTACGATAACAACTACGATAACAACTACGATATCGACAACGCTATGCAAAACGACGATAAAAGGAGCATAAAAACGAATTTATGTACAAAATGTTGTGCAACTACAAAAACCATAGGTCTGTATTCATTTTCTTCATCATCACTGTTAGTGAAATTTTATTGATGCCTTTGCATACTCACAGCATAGCAAAAAAGGTATAAAAGANACAAATTTTCAATCTAAAATATGTTTATTTAAACCTTTCACAATTGCAACCAAATTCAAAGCGTATCTAATATTTGATCTGTGGGCCTGAAAGCCAGCATTAAGGTACCATTTTTTATTGACTGACATTTCATCTGACATTGGCACTTTTGTACCTGTAATTTTACAATACAAGTAAAAGTGATTTTAGTCAATAAGTACTGTTGTTGTGAGCTCCCAAAGGAATACAAGAGCTAGTACAATGTAATCACGAATACAATGAAATCGAAGATTACGCTTACGAGCCTATAGCTGTGACTACAACAACGAGATGAAAAGAATAATTTTGATAGATATATCGAAGGCAATTACGAGAATATCCTAATATTACCGGTAGATATATGGAATATCAAATCTGATATCGATTGTTTTCCCGATAACAACTACGATAACAACTACGATAACAACTACGATATCGACAACGCTATGCAAAACGACGATAAAAGGAGCATAAAAACGAATTTATGTACAAAATGTTGTGCAACTACAAAAACCATAGGTCTGTATTCATTTTCTTCATCATCACTGTTAGTGAAATTTTATTGATGCCTTTGCATACTCACAGCATAGCAAAAAAGGTATAAAAGACAGTCACATTTAGCTTCCGCGCTTAGTGTTAGTTAACGTCGCGCCACTGCTTGGGATTGGGCTCATGTCAAATATTCGCCTCGAAATTTTCTTATTAAAAAGTATCGAATACGTGAAGCACTAGGTAGTTGATTAAGTGTAAAAAATACGTTGAATTTGAAAATATCAGAAACTAAAACTGGAAACGACGCCAATTATGTTTACAGTTCCATTCCCTAAATAGTTTAAAAATAATTAAAAGCAGTGCTAAAAAGTTACGTATTTTTAAATAGCAAAAAGTTTCATTCAAAATATATTGAAAAAGTGATAGTGGTTAAAGAAAAGTCTAACCAAATTATAAGTATACATACCTCAGTATATAAAAATATATGCATATAGGTATACACGGATGACTAAAAACCCAATGCTATTAACTACCAATATTCGATTAGTTATTTGAATTGTGAAATAAATGTTCGGTAATATTTCCATTGTGAAACCGTGATACTAAAATCGGAACTGAAAAAATATATATATCCCAAAAAGATACTTAGACCCAAAACTAAAACTATCAAACTTTAAACAACTGTTCTTTTCCATTTGTTCGCCTCTTCAGAACCACGCATACAAACATTCCTATGAATTCGGGATTAGCCGACACTTGAATATGGATGCACAAACCTTTAGAGAGTTCGGCAAAGCTGCTGTGGACTTTATAGCCGATTACATGGAAAATATTCGCGATTGGTAAGGAAAAAGAAGCAGCAAACTATTTTTTGAAGTAGGAGTCAATATACATATTTACTTTGGAATTTCGGATGTTACTAAATAGCGAATATGCTAGTATTAATTTATTTTCACAGCGCTAAACACTTAGTCTAAAAGTACTTAGTTAGTTTGACCTAACGAAACACCGCGTACAAAAGTGTTTAGAGACTTTGTCTTTATTTCGGGATTCCCAAGACTGCTTCGTGTTTTTAGAGCTGTCGGGCCAATTTTGCGATTTACGAGACCTCTTCGGAGTTTTCGGAACCACTTCGGGATTTTAGAAACTATTTCAAGATTTCGAGATTATAGGGACTATTTCGGGATTTTCAGGACTACTTCGAGGTCTCTCGAATTTTTGGGTTCTCGGTACTATTTCGAGATTTTCGAGGCTACCTCGAGATTTTGAAGGTTCTTTCGAGTTTTTCTAGAATAAATATATCGATAAATATCCATAAGTATGTCGATAAATATATCAAAAAAATGCCGATTAAAGTATCGATACAAATATTGATATATCAATAAATATTTTGATAAATACAGCGATGCAAATATCGATGAAAAATATCCCTAAATATACCAAAATATATGTATCAATTAAATAGTCTATAAATTTATCGATATCAAAATCGGTAAGTACAACAAAAATTTCGAAATAGGTCCGAAAACCATTAAATAGTCACGGGAATCTAGAAGTAGTTCCCAAATTGAGGTATGGTGAGATGAGTCAAGGTTTGGTGAATTTGATTGTGGTAGGATGAGGTGAGGTGAGTTTAAGTGAGGTGTGGTAAGTTTGCGTGCAATGAGTTGATTTGAGATGCGGCGAACTTAGCTGTGGTAAGGTTAGTTGAGATAAGTGTANAACACTGCTGGTGAATTTCGATTGCACGGCAATGTGGCTGCGCGACGCAAATCAGGTTGTGGACAGCTTTAATGTGAATCGTATTTACCTGCAAAACAAGTACAACGGACAGACAGATATACCGGAATTCCGACACTGGCAAATACCGCTGGGTCGTCGCTTTCGCGCGCTAAAAGTGTGGGTTACATTTCGCATCTACGGTGCCGAAGGCTTGCGCGAGCATGTGCGCAAACAAATACGCTTAGCAGAGCGTTTTGAACGACATATCTTGTCGGACGCACGCCTGGAGTTGGTGGCTAAACGATCAATGGGTTTGGTCTGCTTTCGAGTGAAGGGTGACAATCAGTTGACCACAGATCTACTGCAATGTGTGACAGAACGCAAGAAAATCTATATGGTACAGGCGGCATTTGGCGGCAAGAATTTTATGCGCTTTGCGGTGTGTGGCATGGATCCGAAGGAAGACGATATAGACTTTGCGTGGCGTGAAATTGAAGAACAGCTAAATAAATTGCTTAAAGAAGAGAAAAGAGGAAATGTAGGTACGAGTAATGTGGAGGAGCACAGTGGCAAGCAGAGTTCTAACTTGAGTATGCAACAGGTGCATCGAAAAGATTGCGTAGGCGATATTAGCCAACAACTGAGCACTGGACTGCATATAGCGGTTGGTGCGGAAGAGAAAGCCCAATGAATGCTTCTGATGTGCTAAGTTTTTTTTTTTTTTTAATTATTTTTAATGTATAAAATATACAAATTTATTTAAGGCTTAAAATTCATGTTTCACTTATTTGGAGATTGTTTGGATTTTTGAAAGATACCTTAATTTAGTTGATTTGCTTGGCATTCAGTTTCAACTAAAAAAGCCGGTATGATTTTAAAAATTCTAAGGATGAAATTGAGTAACCTAAATCGTTTTCCTCAATTTATAATTAGCTTGTTATTACAAGAAGGCTCGAAAAGTCTCGAAGAATTCTGAGAAGTTATCAATTTTCCCGAAAAAGGTAACGAAAAACCCAAGAAACTGCAATAAAATTCCAAAAATTTCTGCAAATATTCGAATGATACGAATAAATGCAGAAGGATGGCGAAATCAATCCCCCGAAAATTTCTGAAAACTATTCGAAAAATCTCGATAGATGTCGCAAATCCTGATAAGTCTTGAAACATACGAAAAAACTGAAAAGTGGCGTAACAATTCTAAGAAATTCTCAAAAGAACTACAAACCTTTTGAAAAAAGAAAAAAACCAAAAAAAAAAGTTATCGACAAAATTACCACAAATCCCAAGGGACCATTGAGTTCAGGCTGTTTAACAAAATTATTCAGAGAATATGAGCATTAGGGTGGTCCTTAAAAAATCAAATGAACGATTTTTTTCAGTCTTACCCATTGAATTGGTAACAACAATGTCATAGATATCACATATATGTATGTACATTTTGGTCCCGATCGGAGTCGATTGAGGCGTGTCGCAAAGGGGTCAAGGGTCAGATGCATCTAAGGACTCAAAAAATTAAAAATGTTTCTTCATTTAATGCCCAAAATCGATAATACTAAAGTGCTAATCGAAGTCGGTTAAGACGTCGTCATAGGAGGCATTTCATGTCACCGCGGCCACCTCTGTGCGCGACCTCTAAGGATTTGGATGAAAGTTGAAGAGATTCAAGGTCTCGGTGACATGAATATACGTGCAGCATAATTTTCCGATATGACGTAGGGTTGCCTATTTACACGAGATTTAAATTTTAAGAAAACGTCATACATACATTTCTTTAAAGTGCTGTATCTTAGAAACCTTTTAAAGAAACTTAATAAAAAAAAAAATGTATTTCTTCCGTCTTATTATGGGCTTTAATTGTAATGTAAAAAAACAAAAACACTATGAATAAATCATATTAACTTTCCTAAAGGGTCTGAAATCATGAAAATCCCTTCAAGGAAACGGCAGAATTGAACTTTGTTGCAAGTTCAATGGGGAATCTGCCGCGACGGGATTCGAGGAAATTTTAAGAGACTAGCAGCTAGAGCAAGTCTTCAACTCCTAACGTTACAACAAATTCGTACACCCGAAGCCCTCCACCAATGGGGTGCTGTATGTTTCCAATGAGATGCCTGTAAAAAATAACTACAACTAAACTTTCAGTGGACTTTATTTCAACTATGACCACGTGCAACATCAATTTGCTCATTTTCTCTGTAAAAAAAAATGCCAAAAATCAAGGGTACTACTTCAAACTTGCCCTTTATTGTACAAAAATGCATACTCAAGACAGAAAATCTGATTGTATATTGTGTGTATAGATTTTTGCGATAATTTTTAAATTTTTTTCTCTTTGTTTTGTTCTAAATGAAACTGTATAAAAATATGTCTTTACTCTAAAAACAAAATTGTATGTTCGGATTCGATGAATTAGAAATGTGCCGATTTTCGGCAAGAGAAATCTGGTCACAGTAGCCGTTATGTGTGTGACAAACTGACGAACTGTGCGAGCTCGGCGCATAAAGCCATGTGGCAGGATCTTGCCTTTGTGCAGGCGGCAAGAAAGCCGGGACGAAAGGGGTCGTCGTATAGACGGATATGTCGTCTGGCAGTGCGATGACGCAAAACGGAATATTTACGGCGCACTTGGGAGATGTGCAGCAACCGTTGCTAGTAGGGCTCGTTTACATTGAAGGTGTGTGTGTGTGTGTGTGTCGCCGAAATTTCAACCATTAGTATTATTATTTTAGTACCGATTGCAAAATTGAGTGCACACTTCCCTTGCGCTTATTAGGGCGCGAACAGAGTGGCCGCTTGTTGCCGAGCCGAGCCGACTGACGCTTATTGCGAGAACCAATGCGAGAAAACTGGTACTATACAAATTAGTACAAATAAGCGCGAACAGGTCATAGTGGGCGCCGAGCTGGTCAGAGCGCAAAGCTGATTGAATGCGAGAAAACAGTTCCAAAGCGTATTTCAGCGCCGAAAACATTGTTTATGTTATGTTGTTATGATTTCAACTTGTTTGGAAAACATAAAAAAAATTAAAAACAAAAATTTAAGAAAAAGTTAATAAAACATGCAATCAAAAAATTAAAAAAATAATAAAATTTAAAAATAAAATAAAAATTAAAAAATAAAATAAAAATTAAACAAAAAAATAAAAATTCAAATAAATAATAAAAATTAAATAAAATTATAACAATAGTAAAAAAATTAAAAAAAAA